AGTTGTGAGAGATGGATGAATGGATAGATGGATGGTTGGATAGATGGATGGGGGGGTGGATAGATGGACGGGTGGATAGATGGACGGGGGGATAGATGGGTGACGAGGGGAAAGTTGTGATAGATGGATGGATACGTAATAACTTCGTATAGCATACATTATACGAAGTTATACGAATCTATCTCTATCAACTATCTATCTATATATCCCCCCATCTATCCACCCACCCATACATCCATCCACCCATCAATCCGCCCACCCATCTATCCCCCCGTCCATCTATCCACCCGTCCATCTATCCACCCGTCCATCTATCCCCCCACCCATCCACCCAACCACCAACCCATCCATCTATCAATCCACCCACCCATCTATCCCCCCGTCCATCTATCCACCCTCCCATCCACCCATCCAGCCATCGATCTATCTATGAAGTTCTGCCATACATCCACCCACCTATCTGTCTGTCTATCTATCTATCTCTATCAACTATCTATCTATATATCCACCCATCCATATATCCATCTCTCACAACTTTCCCCCCGTTCCTCAGGTCCGCAACAACCGTCTTATCCGGTACGAGTGTCTTCGGGGTTACTACTTATCCGAAGGTCCTCCGGGAGCCACCTGCATCGCGGGCAAGTGGAGTCCGAAGCAGCTGCCCAAGTAAATATTCTTTTGTTGGTTTGTCTGTTCTTTTGGCGTCGTGGGTGTCGGTGTTCTTTGGTGTTTTTTGGTTTGATTGTTCTTTGGCCTCGTGGGTGTCGGTGTTCTTTGGTTTGGTTGTGCGTTGACTCGTTTTTTTTTTTTTTTTTTTTTTTTTTTTTTTTTTTTTTTTTTTTTTTTTTTTTTTTTTTTGTTTGTTTTTTTTTGTGTTCTTGTTCAAATGATTTTGGTTGGTCTGTTTTTGTTTTGTTTTTGTGTTTTGTTTTTGGGGGGATTTTCTGATTCTGCTCGTGTTGGTTTTCGTTTTCTGTTGGGTTGGTTCCCGTTTTCTGTTTGGTTGGTTTTCGTTTTCTGTTGGGTTGGTTTTCGTTTTTTGTTTGTTTGTTTGGTTGGTTCCCGTTTTCTGTTTGGTTGGTTTTCGTTTTCTGTTTGGTTGGTTCCCGTTTTCTGTTTGGTTGGTTCTCGTTTTCTGTTTGGTTGGTTTTCGTTTTCTGTTTGGTTGGTTCCCGTTTTCTGTTTGGTTGGTTCCCGTTTTCTGTTTGGTTGGTTCCCGTTTTCTGTTTGGTTGGTTTTCTGATTCTGTTTGGTTGGTTCCCGTTTTCTGTTGGGTTGGTTTTCGTTTTCTGTTTGGTTGGTTCCCGTTGTCTGTTTGGTTGGTTCCCGTTTTCTGTTTGGTTGGTTCCCATTTTCTGTTTGGTTGGTTCCCGTTTTCTGTTCCATTGTTTCTCGTTTTTATTATTATTATTATTGATTCTCGTTTCTTTTTATTTAAATGTCGTTTCTTTTTAACTGATTCCCGATTTGTGTTTAATTAAATATGTTTTGTGTTCTAAGTAATGGAACTGTTTTTTAATCAAATATCATATTCAGTGTTGAATATATTTTTTTTTATCTCGGTCAAATTGAGTCCTAAACAAATACAAAATTAAATATTCCTTGATTCTTTGTCTAATCTTTCAGCGATTTTCTGTTAAAATTATTTTGTTCTCGTTTTCTCTTCTGTTGAATTTTAGTTTGAAAGTTTGATTTATGTCGTTGTTTGGAAAAAAAAAAATTATGATCAGAGGTTCAGATGTAAAAAAAATGAAAGATTTACTAGATTTTGTGTTTACTTAAACAAATGTTTTGCATGTGTTTCTTCTTTTTTTTTTTTTTTCTTTTCTTTCTTTCTTTTTTTTTTCTTTTTTTTTTGTCTGTCTATGCTTTTATCTTTATCTGATCCGCTAGGTACACGCCTCTACATTATTTGCAATACACATATCATATATATCAATATATCTTTTATTCCATTTAGCTACTTTCTTGTTATCCGTTTTTCTTCTTTATTTTGCTTTTACTTTTACTCTTCTCTCTCTCTCTCTCTCTCCCTTTCTCTCTCTTTTTTGTTCTTAAATAACTCAGATACTTTACTCCTAAGGAGTAAAGTATCTGGAATGTCTTCGTGTAAGATGTAACTGAATTTCTCTTGATATATATATATATTTTTTACTATTATTTATCTCTGTTTGTCTGTGTCTTTTTGAATGTCTCTTCTTTTTTTTATTATGATTTATCTGTTTTTTTTGCCTCTATTTGTCTAACTCTCCCTCTCCCTCTCATTCTCTCTCCTTCTCATCCCCATTCTCATTCTGTCTCCCTCTCCCTCTCCCTCTCATTCTCTCTTTCTTGCTCTTAAATAACTCAGATACTTTACTCCCGAGACACTTCAAAGGAATGTGTTGTCAAGGCTGCAAGTGTGGCGTCTCGGTGTCTGGAATGTCTTCGTGTATAATGTGACTGAATTTCTCTTGATATATATATATTTTTTTTACTGTTATTTATCTCTGTTTGTCTGTCTCTTTTTGAATGTCTCTTCTTTTTTTATTATGAGTTATCTGTGTTTTTATTTTGCCTCTATTTGTCTAACTCTTCCTCTAAGTCTCATTCTCTCTCCTTCTCATCCCCATTCTCATTCTCACTCTTATCTCTCTCTCTCTCTCTCTCACTCTTATCTCTCTCTCTCACTCGCTTTCTCTGTTTCTCTGCTTCTCTCTCACCCTCTCCCTCTCCTTCTCCCTCTTCCTCTACCTCTCTCTCTCCCTCTCCCTCTCCCTCTCCCTCTCCCTCTCCCTCTCCCTCTCCCTCTCCTTCTCCCTCTTCCTCTACCTCTCTCTCTCCCTCTCCCTCTCCCTCTCCCTCTCCCTCTCCCTCTCCTTCTCCCTCTTCCTCTACCTCTCTCTCTCCCTCTCCCTCTCCCTCTCCCTCTCCTTCTCCCTCTTCCTCTACCTCTCTCTCTCCCTCTCCCTCTCCCTCTCCCTCTTCCTCTCCCTCTCCCCATTCTCTCTCCTTCTCATCCCCATTCTCATCCCCATTCTCATTCTCACTCTCATCTCCCTCTCTCTCTCCCTCAAAGATGTTCACCGAAGCTTCACCCGAGACTGAACTGGCTCAAGAGATCGGTGAGTTTGGCAGACTACTTCGAGACGCTCAACCAGACTCAAGCCATCGCAAGCTCTCCTGGAAAAGCTCAACCCAACTCAAGTTTTCGCGATCCAACTCAAGCCAACTCAAGATTTCTCGGTCAAAGTCAAGCTAAGTCAAGATTTCCCGGGCAAAGTCAAGCTAACTCAAGTTTTCGTGATCCAACTCAAGCCAACTCAAGATTTCCCGGTCAAAGTCAAGCTAACGCAAGTTTTCGTGATCCAACTCAAGCCGACTCAAGATTTCTCGGTCAAACTCAAGCTAACTCAAGATTTCCCGGTCAAACTCAACCCAACTCAAGATATCCTGGCCGATACAGCGCTGATTCCCGATTCGTAGAAAGATATCAAGATCATCCGGTAGAGATTGCGAAAGGAGGAAATGGAGGAAAATATGATAAGGCGTCGCGATCTTCCATTTCTTCTCCTTCTTCTTCTTCGTCTGTGTTTTCTTCTTCCTCGTCTTCGTCTCCTTCCCGTCCCCCTCCCTCCCTCCTTCCCCCTTCCCCTCCTTCCTCCCCAGCCCTTCCTCCTCTTCCACCTATTCCTCCCCTCTCTTCTTCTTCCCCTCCTTCCCCTCCTCCTCCATCTCATCCTCATCCTCCCCCTCCTCCTCCTCCTTCTTCTTCCCATCCCCATCCTCCCCTTCCCCCTCCTCCTCCTCCTTCTTCTTCCCATCCTCCTTCTCCTCTTTCTTCTTCTTCTCCTTATTCTTCTTCCCCTCGCAATGTCCCTTCTAAAACTTGGCTCAGTTTCCTTTCGAGAAATGTCTCTCCTCTCCTTATACGGCATCGGAGAACGGCGAAGAAGGAAGAGGAAGGAGAGAATAAAGGAAGGAAGAAGGGAAAGAAAGGTAAGTGGAAGAGAGATGGATAGATAGATAGATAATTAGATAGGTATATAAATAGATAGATAGATAGATAGATAGGCAAATAGACAGATAGATAAATAGATGGATAGATAGGTAGATAGATGGACAGATAGATAGATGTACGAAGAGATAAATAGATAGATAGAAAGATAGGTTGGCAGTTATCAGATAAATAGATATCTGGCAAACACGTTGAAGATAAAAAGAGATATAATTTCAGCTCTAAATATTCTTCATATTTCACAGTGTTGCAGTTTACAGAAGGAAGAAAGTGATATATTCCTAACTCACGTTTTCCCTCACAATTTTTTTTTTTTTTTTAATTCCTATAACTCTCCATTACAGAAAGATGTATGTAGATGTACACATATAGATTCCAGATTTATTTTCTTAGTCTCAAAAGCGCCCAAAAAGTTTCTCGATTTTGAATACTGGTCATAGGAGGTATACTTCACTTCATGGGTATATATATTACATTATTTTTCTCACTTTTAGGACACAATTTCACACTTTCTGAAGGTTAAGTATGATCGTAAGACATGGCAATTTTACTGTAATATATTTCCTAATTCATTTTCTCTTTCGTTTTCTTTAAAGTCTAAGGGTAGATATTAGGAACACACTTTCACTCTACTTTTCACATTTTTTCAACTTATTCACTCTAAGAAAACTCTTTCGCAACTCCCTCTCTCTACATACTCTTTTTTATTCATTCTTTCGCCCTCAAAAGTTGTTTTAACACTTTCACATATTCATTCGTTATTCTCTCTCTCTCTGTCTGTCTGTCTGTCTCTCTCTCTCTCTCTCTCTCTCTCTCTCTCT